CCAAAAATGGACCAATGTCATACGTGACGTCTATACCAAAGATGGAGTATCCATCAGGGTTGCAGCAGAACTGCACCACATCTGCCAACTGTGCCTTTATGGCAAACACCACCGTCACCTCTGGGCTGACTTGCAGGGCGTGGAGAGATTTTCCCTGCGACTCTTTGCACTTCTCAATTAATCACGCCAAAGTATCCTTTGTATCCTAGATTCGATCAAGATTGGAGCTGACTTTATCAAAGCTAGTAAATCTACCAAGAACATTGGTGTTTGGCTTGATAGTGTGCTTTCTATGGATGAACGAATAAATAATATCTGTAAAACTGCTTTTTTCCACCTTCGTAACATAGCTAAAATTAGAAAGTTCCTTTCTTACCGTCAGCGTGAAATACTTATTCATGCCTTCATTTTGTCGAAGTTGGATTATTGTAACGTCCTTCTATCTGGCCTACAGCATTCACAAATTGATAGACTACAATATGTAAAAAATTCAGCTACCAGCCTGCTTACTGCCACCAACAGATATAATCACGTTACGCCTATACTTAGAAGCCTACATTGGCTGCCTGTGTCCACCCGTATTGGTTTTAAGATACTTCTTCTCGTTTTTAAAGTATTAAATGGTCTGAGTCCTCTGTATCTTAGTGAACTGTTAAGACCGTACATTCCTAATAGAAACCTAAGATCTTCTAAGATAAAACTCTTAATGGTACCTAAATGCAATCTTAAAAATTATGGATATAGTGCGTTCTCTCATAGAGCTCCTACTCTTTGGGACGTCTTGCCGGATGATATTAGGCAAGTGGACCTTTTAACAACATCTAAGTCTAAACTTAAAACCCATTTATTTCGGCAGTTGTAGTTTTTGCTTTCATTGATTTTTCACTAGTTTTTTAATTCACTTTAATTCTTAATTGATTATAATTTCTATTACTATCATTGTGAAGCGCCGCTAGATCTTTGAGAAGCGTTGCGCCATATAAGCTATATATTATCATTATTATTAATCCACACAAATGCAGCAAACAATTCAATTTTGAATAGTTAAAGGTAAGAGGCATCATGCCTGCAAATGGACTCACCCTGGAAGCAGAAATGGGTGAGAAAAGAATATCACCGCAAGTGTGTTGATGATTTTCATGCAACTCAAGCCCTTTTAGCAAAGACAAAGTAAAAGAAACAACGACTGACCTCTCATCCTAAAAAGAAACTGCCTTGCAAATATTAACTTCTGGAGATACCTGAAAAATCAAATAATAATAATTTGAAACTACAAACGAACAACCAATAAAACTGACTGTACATCAATACTTAATTGATAGCCATGTACTAGGGAACCTACAATGACTGTAGGTTAAGTGCACTGGATCAACAAAAAGAAAAACATTAATAATAATAACCCCTAAAGAGTAAATATAAAAACTGGCTTTAACTTCAGGAATATAGCTACCTTTTCAGAATAAATCTTTTGCTTTTTAGGACTGGGTGACAGCTTCTCAAATGATTTAGTAATGTCAGCTAAACCCCAGGTAACAAGAGACATCGCGAAGTACCACTGATGTAAAGTTTAAGTCATGTTTAGTAGAAAGTAAGCACCTATCAATAATTTGTCCTAAGACGGGTGAGGGGGTGGCCTAAAAACGCAAAATTAGACATTTTCAGGTTTGAAAATTTCTATTTCGCCACCTGGGGACTCTACTGGGGAGTTCACATTCCAAGATGGCGTTCGTTTGGGCTCCGATGTATCTAATGTTATTCCTGTTAATATGTACGTCCTCGGCTAACACTGGTATAAATAATGTTAATCCGGCAATAGATAATGGCTTTAATCGGCAATATTTGCCACAAGGAGGAGATTTTTCACCGCTCCTATTAGATATACTGTAAATGGAATCTCCACCTTCAACTTGTCGACCGAAGCGGGATGGGATGGATGGGTATGGGATGGGTGGACCCCCGTTGATAGCAGTGTTCAGTACACTGAAGGGGTTATCCTTTTTAAATATAGACGTCTACCTATCTATCTAAGCTCTACTACAAATTGCTGCCGATATTAACCTGAATCCAGGACCAGAGAATTACCAAGGCAAATTTCGACCAACAAATTTTCCAGAGAAAGGAATGTAAATCGCCTTACCGACACCAAGTTTGAGCAAATTAAGTTATTCCTTTGAGCTAACTCAGTTGATGTTTTATTTCTCATCGAAACATTCCTAAAGCAGAATTCACCCGATTGTATCTATGAAATCCCTGGATATTGTTTGTTTCGAAAGGATAGGCACGGCTCTAAACATGGTGGAGGAATTATAGCTTACGCCTCACAAAATCTGGATGTAAGGCGGACTGAAGAACTAGAATAAGATGACCTCGAAATATTGTGGCTAAATGTAAATCCATTTAATTCCAAAACATCCTTAACGTGTGGAGCGCTCTACCGCCCTCCCTCTACAAATGCTGCGACTGATACACGACTGGAATGAAATATCGAATCTGCTTATCTCTTAGATAACGAAATTCACATTTTGGGTGATTTTAACATCGAATAACTAAAGCAGCCTATACATAATAACCATCAACTTTCGAAAGAGCTCAAGTCAATGCAGCTTGTGCAAGTTGTAAAGTCAGTGACAAGACCAGCTAGCTCAACCTGTCTGGACCATGTTTATACCTTACATGAGCATCTTATCTCACATTTATTGCTGCCCAATACTGGTCTTGCGGATCATCTGCCAGTTTTCATTTGCCGTAAATATACCAAGAAACGTAGGGAAACATATAACATTGAGATCAAGTACAGAGACATGAAAAATATAAATACCAATGAACTTCTGGCTTCCCTAAACTGTATTTCATGTGACACATGCTTCACTCAATCCAATATCAATAATATTCTCAATGCCTTTCAAGATAAAGTAAACACAGTTTTGGATGAACACATTCCATTCAAAGCGAAACGTGTTAAACGACAGCATCAGCCCCCTTGGATAAATAAACAGATAACCACTGCTATAAAAGAGCGAGACAAACTGCTCAAAATTTATCAGAAAATCGAATCTTCAAGCAGATTGGAATCAGTTCAAACATGGTAAATGCAAAACATCAAATCTAATTAAAAAACCAAAAAGGAATTATTTCCAGGAATCAATAAAAAAGAACAAAGGAAATCCAAAAGGCATTTGGAAGGCATTAAAGACTCTCAGCGGAACGCAAAAACGTGAACTTAAAATAACTGAGTTAAAAACAGAAAATGGCACCATTGATGATCCAGTTCAAATAGCTGAATCACTCAATACGATGTTTGTCAATGTGGCTTTACGCCTAAACGTAAATAACACCCAAGATGTCGACAATGAAAGGCTTCGTTATTTTATCACCTCAAGACTTACAGCTGACATAGAACCTTTCAACATACCTCAAATCACTGATAAAGACATTCTAGAATTTATTAATAAATTACCAACAAATAAAACTACCGGCCATGACGTCTTAAGTGCAAGAGTTTTGAAATTGATTGCACCAGTCTTAAAAACCCCTTTGATGGAAATGATGAACATCTCAATTGACAGCAGTGTTTTCCAAGTGAGTAGAAAACTGCGCTAGTTGCACCGTTGCACAAAGATGGACCTAGAGATGATGTGAATAATTATCGACCCATTGCAGTCCTGCCAGTGCTTTCCAAGATTCTTGAAAGACAGGTATCGAAGTCATTTACAAGTATTTAAATGAAAACAATCTTATCTTTAAGTATCAATCTGCATTCCGAGAAAACCACTCTACGGAAACAGCCATTATAATGAAGTTAACAGATGAACTGCTCTTTAACATGGATAACGATAAGGTAACTGGGATGATTTCAATTGATTTCAAAAAGGCATTTGACCTCGGGGATCATGAAACTTTGCTGCAGAAACTCTAGATGTATGGCTTCAGTGACTCAGCAGTGATGGTTTCGCTCCTATCTGTCAGACAGACAACAATGTGTGAAAGTGAACGGATGTACATCCTCTCTGTTACCAATCAACCAAGGTATTCCGCAAGGTACCATTGTTGGTCCCATGCTTTTTCTCATCTTCATAAATGATGTCCCACTTTACGTCCAAAATTCAAGTATGAATATCTACGCCGATGACGCAACATTAATATCAAATTCAAGATGGGATAACATCTCACCCAGAAATAACAATATTCAAAAAGACTTAGAAAATATCGAACAGTGCGCAATAATGAATAAAATGATCATTAACGAGAAGAAACGAAATCGATGCTTATTAGTGGCAAGAGACTGAAAAAACGCAGGGAAAAGCAACATCTAGCCCAAAACAGCGGTGTAGATCAACTGTCTATAATTCTCAACAATTCACCAATTGAGAATGTCCATTGGGAATCGAGGTTGAAGAAGATCTTGACTTCACAAATCATTGTGAAATCTTTGCTAAAAGAACTCAAAACGAATTGGCCTGGTGAAACATATTAGCCCATATTTGAACAGAAACCAAAGAGAAATCTACTATAAAGCAGTGATCAAGCCTGTTATTCTCTATGGTGCCAATCATAGACATCAACATCAAAACAAAATATAAACAGCATCTTTAAGTTACAGAAAAGAGCATCAAGAATCATCTTGGACACCGAACCCCGCTCTCGTTCTGTTTCACTGTTCAATTCATTAAACTGGATACCATTTTACCATGAATCTTATGGAATTAGATGTTACTTACTCCTTAAGAGAATCTTAAGCTCACTTAAGAATCGTAAGATTCTTACTGCTCACTTAAGAATCTTACGATTCTTAAGTGAGCTTAAGATTCTCTTAATCTTAAGCTCATCTTAAGCTTAAGAGAATCTTAATAGCTCACTATCAATATACCATTTTCGATCCCATATGAGCATTGTATTGCGCCGTTTGGCTGCATAAAATTTGGCTCCTCAGTTTTTTGTTTTTTCTATACTTTTGTGGTTCATCCCTTTCGTTCTAAGGTTGTTAACACGTCTTTAACGCTATGGCTATGAATTACAGCCGATCTACACTGCTTTCCCTCAGATTCTGGTGGAAAAATTCGACACAACTTATCAAACCTTTGCGGCGTTCTGAATGGACCGCTTGGAAATTTGCTGGAATCTTAAAACCAACCAGAGGAATACGCGGCGGGATCCAACGGAAACTACAGGCGGATCACAGAGTTCACCATATTCTTCCAGTTATCTCAAGACGAAAACAGTTCGACATTAGCTATCCAAGGGCCAAGGGAAAGCATGATTCAGTAAATCATGGGAACTTATTAAATATTCAAAATCACACCTCTTCGACTCCATCAAGATCCGAAGTCGACAGCGTGACCACAAGCTCCCTTGGGAGGCCTCACTTTGTTCCATCGATCTTTTTGTCCAACACAATGTCCTTGGCGCCTAAAATTGATGAAATTGCTCACACTCTAAACAACGTTAATGCTGATATAGCCCTTTTTACTGAAACCTGGCTGAGTGGCTGTGTGCCTGATTCCCCGATTAACATCAAAGGCTACCAGCTTTTTAGGCGCGATCGTGTCGGCTGGCAACATGGAGGTGTGTGTATGTACGTTAAAGATTCGATCCAGTGCAAGGTTCTATCTGATTTTCATCATGAGGATCATGAAGCTCTCTGGGCCGACCTTAGGCCCATCCGATTACCGCGTGGATTCTCCAACATTATCGTGGGCGTGGTGTATCAACCCCCAGACGCCAACGACTCCGCTATGAGGGATTATTTGGTGACATCCTTAATGTCTCTTGAGGCTAAATGTTCTAACTGTGCAATTATTTTGGCTGGCGACTTTAACCGGTCGCTCCTTCCTATGGTCCAATCTGCTGTTAAGGCCTTTCACCTCAAGCCTACTGTCTCATTTCCTACTAGAGGTAATAATACTCTGGATCAAATTTTCACCAACTTCCCTGAATTTTTCTCTGCTCCATGTAGCCTTCCTCCGTTTGGTCTATCTGACCACCTGTCTGTGTATATGGGGCCGGGAATCAGGGAGACGCCCTCAAAATCTAAATGCAAGATCATCCTCTCCAGAGACAAAAGACCCAGTAAAAGAGCCAGTGTGGGCAGATTTTTTCTTCAAGTGCCTTGGTCTGATCTTCTCTCAGCTGATCTGTCATGTGAACTTAAGCTTAGAACTCTCACTGACATTATTAACCTTGGGCTGAACACGATCATGCCCGGGCGTTCTACAAAGGTGTACGAAACTGACCGGCCTTGGTTGTCTGTACATCTCAAACATCTAATTGCCCGTCGTCAGAAGGCATTCGCATCCGGGAACCAGTACCTATTTAAGATCTTAAGAAACAAAGTGAATCGAGAGCGCAAGCGCTGTCAGAGGGTCTATTACGAGAACAAGGTTGATGGCCTGCATGCTTCCAGGCCTCGTAATTGGTGGAAAGAAGTGAAACAGCTTTGTGGGTCCACTAAATCTACTGAGCGCGATCTGAAATCCAAGCTCCACAAAGATCTTGTATATAAAGATGCAGTTTTAGCTGAAAAAATTAACCAGGCGTTTGTTAGCGTAATGAAAGACTACTCGCCATTGGCAGTTGGCGCACAGGTGTCAGCAGATGATGATAATCCGATTGTGGTTACCAAGCAATCTGTCACGAGGAAGCTTC